CTCTCGTATAGTTTCTCCCTTTTGTGATTGGTCTTCAGCTATACTTTCTAATGCATCCACAATCTTTGAGTAGGACTCCAGAATTGCACTTGTTGCCACTGCATGTGCCTCCCAGCGAGTATTAGAAAGAGATTTCAACACACGATCATTGTCCAAATATGTTTTAAGAACTGCCCATCGGTGAGTTGAGGCAGAGAAAAATGTATAAAGTAACTGGACTGTTGAGAAAAACCTTACTGCCACCGGACAACAATCAACAGCACTGCGGCCAACAAGATTGAGAGTGTGCAGCACATGGTATGAATATGGCATATTTGTTCTGTTATAAAAGCTTCTTCTGCATTCCTTGATAATGCCCTGACGTTGGCAGCATTGTCATAAGATTGACCTCTGCACTTTGAGAAATCTATTTTGCAAACTTGGCACAGATAATGCAGTACTTGATTTGCCATTTCTTCACCAGTATGGCTTTTCAAATTGAGGAATGTTATAAATCATTCAACTGTTTTTCCATCTGTGGGAGACACATATCTTAATTACACGTATCTCAATTGATCAATATGTGAAAGATCAGGTGTAGAGTCGACAGATAAACTGAAGTACCCAGCAGTACTTATTTCATCTACAATAGCTGAATGAACTTTGTCACTCATTAGACCAATGAGTTCATCACATATTGTCTTGGATAAGTATGATGGGTTACCTTTGCCAGCATTCCCATATTTTGAGATATGGCCTGCTAAAAATGGGTCAAACTGAGCCACAAGCTCCAACAATCCCAAGAAATTTCCATTCTGCAATGATCCAAATGTGTCCTTTGATCCCCGGAAAGGCAGACCACATTCAGCTAATGTTTGAATAACAGCTATAACACGCTGCAAGACATGTTGCCAGTATTCACGCTCCCCTTTAATTTGTTCTTCCAATTTTTGTGTCAATCCAAATCCCTGTCTTCGATTTAAATATGTCAACATTGAATCTCTGTGAGTAGTGCTATTTTCATGTTGTTCAACTAAAACAGTATTCTGCCAGTCACTAAATCCATCTGCAGCAAACCGGGATGTTGAAGGTTTATATACAAAAAGTTTGCAAACAAAACAGTACGCAGACCCTGTTGATGGTGAATACAGTAGCCATTCTCGAGTGCATTTCTCACCATTTGCTTTCATGCCGAAATTTTTTTGTGTGTGGCCAATATCTTGTTTGTTTGCCATTGGTAAAAGTCCGACATGATTTCTCCAATGGCCCAGTGTGGTGTTGACAGTCATTTGGTCCACTATCTATCCAGGAAGCTACATCATCGGTACTGAAATCAACCCACATACCAGGATCTTTTCTCCTATTATTTACAGCATGAGGAGGTTCAATCTCTGACACATCCACACCTTCCAGAATAATGTCTGTTTTACCACCAGGAGTAGGATGATCAGTTACAGTCTCTGACACATCCACATATTCTGGAATGGTGTTTGTTTCACCAGTAGAAGAAGGGTCAGTCTCTGAAACACCTACAGGTTTTGGAACGATGTCTGTGCTACTGAGAGAAGATGTTGCTTCTGATGGGTTCGCTTTGAAAAATGATGTCAGCTTTGGAAGATTTTGGAAAATTTCACTAGTTTTTTGTTTCTTTTCTTCCACCAGTTTACGTTTCTGTGCTCCACTCAGTTGGTTACGTTTCATCCTGCCCCTTATCTCGGTTATCTGAACTTAAAAAAAACCCAAATTACACAACGTACACTATTTTTATGTATATATATAATATATATATAAGGGGAAAAAAAACGAATCAAGTACGTATAACTCAGAAGAATATATCAATAATAAAACATAAATTTATTGCAATACATGACAGGATCTGATTTCCTTGCATTTTGACACCCCCCTGGTTTAGGTGGGGATAAGTAATAAAAAGAGAACAGAAAAATGGGGGAAGAGTGTGTAGTGGAGTGTAAGGAAGTCTCACAAAGTTCTGATTTTTCCCATGATGACTACTTCGATGCTTTTTTTGAAATATCAAATATCAAATTAAAAAAAAAAATCTCATTTTTTTTGGTGCCCCCTGCTTTGCTGGTGCCCTAAGCACATGCTTTGTCTGCCTATTGGATAATCCCGCCCTGCACCTCCCTGCCCCTATTGGATCCCTTCCCCAAATCCCCGCCCTGGCCCCACCTCTTCCCCCAGCGCGCCGCGTTCCCCCTCCTCCCCCTCCCTCCCTGCCCCGCGAATCAACTGTGTCACGGCAGAAGCGCTGGGAGGGAGGAGAAGCAGGAATCGGCGGCGGGCTCGTGGAGGAGGCAGAGGCGGCGGTGAGCTGGAGCAGGGGGGCGGGGCGGGGCGGGGCCACGGGGAGTTGCTGGTGGGTGCTGAGCACCCACCAATTTTTTTCCGTGGGTGCTCCAGCGCCGGAGCACCCACGGAGTTGGTGCCTATGGGCCTGCAAGCAGGTTTCGGGGGTCCACCAAGCAGGGCTGGCATTAGACATGCTGGGGCCCAGGGCAGAAAGCCAAAGCCCCACCACATGGGGCTGAAGCCTGGGGCCCTGAGCCCTACCACCTGCGGCTGAAGCCTGAGAAACTTAGCTTCATGGGGTCCCCTGTGGTGTGGGGTCCCAGGCAATTGCCCTGCTTGCTACCCCCTCATGCTGACTCTGGCTTTTATATGCAGAAAACAGTTGTTGTGGCACAGATGGGCCATGGGGTTTTTATAGCATGGTGAGGGGCGGGGGTGGGGGTGGGGGAATCAAAGAAAAAGGTTGAGAACCCCTGGCTTGGAGGAGAGTCCAGGAGAGGCAGCCCTCTGGACAGTGGGCCAGGGAGATGCTTCCAGAGAGATGTGGCCCCCAGGTTCTGTGATCCCCACCCAACTTATGTAGGAGGGCAGGATATAACCTTTGACCTGAAGAACAGAGGCTGGCTTGGTCCAACTGACCCCCCATTTTAAGGGGTCTTCATCCCAAAGTGAGTGGGGGAGGATGTATCTAATGAAATATTAATGGGCTTTTGGTAACATTCTTGTATCCCAACACAGGTGACTCCTCAGTGAGGGTAGCAGAGGCTCGTGTTGTGGTAGGACCCCTATTCATCCTTGATGCCTAGCAAGGGTCCAAGGATCTCCTAGAAGACCAACAGGAAGCAATGCAGGCAGCATCACATGATATCTAGTGACTGACCTGCATGCACCTTGGAGAGCTTTCTGCATTGTGTTATGTATCTACTTCTCTGTTGGTGGAGGACTGGGAGCTTCCACCCACCTGGGAAAAATCCTGAAGTCTCATCCTGGGGCAGGGTGGGGGGAATTATTCATAACAGTGGGGGTTGAAGAGTGAAGTGGCACAACCAGAGTCAGGGGTTTTTCCACTGAATACCTGCCCCAGCCCATCACAGCTAGGCTGTGAAGAGCCTTGGCAGCTAGGCTGATGCACCAAGTGGTGGTCTATGATCAACAGTTCTGTAGGTGGAGTTATAAAGCAATTGCTGCCCATCATACTAGGCAGCACCACCCCAGGGCCCTCCGTGCTGCACAAACACAACTCCCACTGCTCCAGCTGCAGCGTCTGCTAATGCATGAAGCAGAGTGACCTCCCTATTGTGGGATGCGTAAGTGCCAGGGATGCGGCAGAAGTTCTCAGTTCCAGTTCGAACCCTGGCTTTCCTCTTCCAGCAGCCGTAGAGCCTGCGGTGCTGGGGGGATTAAGCGCGGCAGCTTCTACCCCAGCTTTGGCCTGTCTTACTCTGGGTCCTTTTCTTGTAGGCACAAACTGCAGCCAGTCCCTGCCCGAGCTGCCAAGTGACTCTGCCATCAGTGCAGAGTAAATGAAGAGCACTGAGCAGCCTTGAGGCAGCTGCTGCCTTCCTGAGGGGGATGTTCCCGCTAGTGAATGGGCGAGGAAGGAGGTGACCTCTTTAGCTGTATCTCAGACTCTCCCGCGAGCCAGGTAGGGTGACCAGATGTCCCGATTTTATAGGGACAGTCCCGATTTTTGGATCTTTTTCTTATATAGGCTCCTATTACCCCCCACCCTCTGTCCCAATTTTTCACACTTGCTGTCTGGTCACCCTAGAGCCAGGTAGGTGGGAGGTCAGACCCGTGGGCTCTTTGGAAAACACCTTTATTCCCCTTCAGGAGCCTCCCTGGGAGAGGCAGTGTGTGCAGCAGGGAGCTGCATTTCAGAGTGGGGCTTTGTTTCCCAGGAGCACAATGTTACTACTGTTGGCGGTGGGGGGTGAGGAACCTTGTGTGGCGCTGCCACAGAGCTAGCTGCCTTATGATAAAGGTGAGGTCAGCAGCACCCCATGTGTTCCTGTTCCGCCCTGGAGCTGCGGCTAGGTGCTGTGCCTCTCCCTCTGACTCAGCCCTGCTGCTGTCTGTTCCTTGTCGCTGGGGGAAGGTAGGAGTCCCCCAAACCCACTGGCCTTCATGGATTTGCGATCTGAAGATGTCAGCTTAAATCCTCCTCTAGCTCTCCATTGAAATTACCCTGAGAGCCTCCAGCTAGGAGCCACTCCAGCGCCTCTCCCCACGTAGGGTGACCAGACAGCAAATGTGAAAAATTGGGACAGGGGATGGGGGGTAATAGGAAACTATATAAGAAAAAGACCCCAAAATCGCGAATGTCCCTATAAAATCGGGACATCTGGTCACCTTAATTAGTGCTCACGAATACCATGGAGACCACAGCCCCTGCTTACTTGGGATAACTGTCCGGCTCTGTTCCTGCCCCATTGCCCATCAGAGCCCCACCACTCGGGGTGGGAGGCTCAGGGGGTGGGAGCAGGGACTCCCCAGGCCCCAGGCTCAGTCCCCTCCCCAGGCCCCTGGTCCTGGCTAAGTGGATTTGGAAGAGGAGTTAGCGGGGGAGGGTCCCTCCTTTCCCACCCTGATTCTAGTAACCGACATTCCATGCTAAGCCATTTCCAGGAGCCAGGCACGAGTTAATGCTCTCGGGCTGGCATGGCAAGGTCCTGTGCATGGCTCTGCTGCTTGGGGGGCTTGGGTGTGGCATGGCTGAGCCCACCTGCTCGGAACAGTTGGTGTCCAGCTGGTGTCGTCTGAGGTCAAAAGGCCAACTCCAGCCTCCCCTGGTGAGAGTTTGGGCTGGATTTTGGTGCAGCTGGGTGTCCTTTGTCCCGGGCGGTCCTGGACCCCCAGGCTCAGCCCCAGGGCTTGTTCCTCTAGCACAGGGTGCAGGGAGAGAAGAACAGGCCCCTCCCTTCAACCATCCTTCTAGTGCTGCTCTGTGCCCAGTGGCCATTGGCTAATTACAATAGTGAACAGGTACAGCCAAACTTTCAAGAGCTCAGAACCCAGGTGGGTTCCAGGACTGTAAGAATGGCCCTGGGGGCAGGGCACAGGGTGGGGACTCGGGTGCCAGGACTGTAAGAATGGCCCCGGGGGTAAGGCACGGGGTGGGGACGCGGGTGTCAGCGCTGTAAGAATGGCCCCGGGGACAGGGCACGGGGTGGGGACTCAGGAGGCTGGGCTCAATTCCCCTCTTGGCCCCAGGCTTTCTGTGGGACCTTGGGCAAGTCATTTCCCTGATCCTGGGCCTCCATTCCCCACCCCCCACATGGGGATAGCATGTCCCTGCCTGGAGGCGTGTGGGGAGGGGAGTATCCATTAGTGACC